CCATCCATTAATCATGAAATGTCATAAGGGGGGGTGTAGTTATACATCATGTGTATTTGTTTTTTCCTCTAACGCTCAATTACTAATCCGAAAAGCGGCGTCAAAAATTTAAACCAAAAATCCACGTGATTTGGAGGAGGGATGGGGGGTTAGTCTTTAATCTCACCATGTATGGTTAAAGATGCAGAAAACATCACGTGATTAATGGACAGCCTTATTAGATTAAAGACAAGATCGAACTTGTCTCAAGATTAAATCGAAGTAGTCTAAAATTAAGCTACTGTACAAAAATCGGTCATAGGTGACCGATTTTTTTCTCGAATTCCTCACGTGTTGTAACCTTTGATGTCAGATGCAATTGCAGTCGTTGATGCCCACCAATTCACAGGAGGGTGGTTTTTTTTTGTGAAAGGTATAGGTATTAACATAATACAAATTGTATATAGTTAACATCTAAGCCAGTTCTTTCTATTTGATACCATCTATAGGAAAGGTCTGTGCGCCTACAAGGGAAACATTAATAGACTGATTATAAATTAACTAAAACGGTAAGATAAATAAAAAGTTGACATAATTTCTCATACATACTAATACACTAGACGTTTTCTCGCGACTGCCACGTAAATTATACCTTATGCCACCAGCGTAGCTTCCCGTAGGTGAAAAAATATTCATGAACGGATCAGTACTTCCGAAATTGTACCCTATACAAACAAACAAAATTAAAAATATGACGTCTTTATAATATTAGCACAGAACACCATTGAGCTTCATACTTATTCTTAGGAGCCGTCCATTAATAACATGAGGCTCGAAAGGGGAGAGGAGGTTCGTCAAAAATAACGAAATATCGCAATGGGAAGGCAATATATCACGTGTATTTATTTTTCTCAAACGCGCGATTACTAAAACAAAAAGCGGAGTAAATATTAAGATATTTTGTACGTATTAAAAATACACGTGATATTTTAGTCTTAAACTTTACCATGTATCACCAAGGGGTCATTCATGAATTACGCCACACTTAGGGGGGGGGGGGGGGGGGACGAACTGTGACATTGGAACAATATTTAGTAGATTTTGTATAGATAAATGTGAGAGGAGGGGGGGGGGGGTGTTAGAAAATCCTGAATTTTGTGTGACGTAATTTGCTGAAAAAAACATCACGTGATTAATGAACGTCCCTTTAATGATTTTATTCAACAAACGATAAGTGTTATTACACCACATTTCGTTGTGATGGAATTCGATGGAAGAAGGAAATAACACATCGTATTGACCCGGTAAATGTTGATAAACTTCTTGTTCATTATTAGAAGAATGATTTTTAAGCCAATCTTTCCCTTACGGCCTTTATGATTAAGTCTATTTCTGTGTTACGCGTAGGTAGGTAGGTGTTCTTATTTTCCTTTCTTTTTTCAGTGTTGCAAGTATTGCCCCTTTAGGTTATAGTCAATATTTATAGTTCTTATCTAACTTTACTAAATTATTTCCCATACATCAACTTCAGAAAAAGACTAGGTGCTCAATATGACTGAGTGTTTTTTGTATTCCACATTTATCTCAACAGTCGACTGAGTCTAATAATACTTTTTTGTTTGAAAGTTGATGAGTCTAGCAGCTAAAATGTCCATCAAATTATTGCCCGATTTAAAGAAATTTTATTGAATTCGTTTACCTTTTTTTTATGTTTTTAAGACAGATTTAGTTAAAATAATTTCTTACATACTATTAAGACACATTTATTTTATTTATTTCTAAACCTTTTTAGGAGAACGCGGATTGGAGAGAACAGAAATGAGTGTGCATACCAAACATAGCTGTCTCCGCTGACGTACGGGGAGCCATTTAAGCTGAGATCGATTGTAAGACATATGATCATATTTCCAATAATCTTGTCTATATAATATAATTATAAATTCATCTTTATCGCAGTCGAGTGTTGTGGTATTAGATTAGATTAAAGATTAACCGGTCCAAGTAAAAAAAACATGCAAATATAAAAATAGTAAAGTATAATTGACATTTTACTACACCAGTGTAAATGAGCCATTAAGGGAGTCCCTTCATGGTGTTAACTAGAACGACCAACTTATTGACCAATTAGAATGAGCCTTAAAAGTAAACGTACAGTCTACAAAAAAACTTCTTGTTTATCATGGCGATATATTTATATAATACGAATGACGTAATATTATGTTAACTAATTGATAATAACAACGTTAAAACTTTTTTACATTTATTAACGGATCATTAACTAAGTGTTTTATTATATATATATATAATAACCGGACGTAGTATTGACTGTAGGAAAATATTAAGTGCAATAATTATAACGCTAGTCAATTTAATAACGTCATTGTCTAATTAACTACTTAAAGTATTACAAGAATTAATATAATTGCTATTGATTAAATTAAAGTAAACTTTGAATTTTGACTTTGATCGACAACATAGAAAGGGGGGCACTTAACTATTTTTTTTTTAAATTTGCTATTTGAATATTACAATGTATTATTTAAATACAAGTCAATGTTTTTGCTGCCATTTGTAAGAAGAAAAAATGGCGATTGTAACAGCCAATACGTTCAAAAACCTTTTAAGTCGACATTACAAAATTTCACATGAACTTTAATAAAATTTATCGGTTACCAAAATAATAATTCCTCAGATGTTTACTGCGGACATCGATAGGCTTAAGACGATAAATCAATTGCATAAATAATTCCTTTCTCATTTCACGAAGGCGGACGTGACTTAAAGAATTAACTTACATAACAGCTTCGTAAATTTCGTTTGTCAAAGGCTTTGTATTCGAACCCGGCAACACTTAAACTCTTGATTTACAAGGAAGTATCAATGGCAAGTTTTTAACCAAATAAATTATCTAGCAAAGAATCGGCTTCATTATAATTTACGTATTGATTCAATTGTAGAGTACTTACATCAATGTCACTCTTAATCGGATTTTGCACACAAAGGAAGGAAAATGATTATCAAAAACTAAATAGGAAAAAAATATTTGAAAAGCATTCTTGTTTTGATTAAGAATTGAATCATTTTAGCTCTCATAATGGTAGCAGAGATTTTTCTTGATAATGGAGTTTTGGATACGACCAAATGTAGCAGCTATTTCTTCCATTCTTGCGGGATGAAAAGTTTCGATTATTCAGACGGACTTTATTTTATTCAGATGCAGTTTATTTGTCCTCTATATCAAAAGTAATCAGAATGGATAATTTATAGCTTAATTCAAGGGCAATTCAATTTAATAGCAAATACTGGGTTGCCAACATTAAAAAAATATTAGCGTGACCGATGTTATCACAGACATTATATTTTTCGAATCTATAGAATTATATACATAAATGCATTGCAAATATTGCATTAGATCAATTTTGCTTTTACAAATATGTTTCTTAGAGAAATGAAAAATTCACTCTGGTGTTGGTAATTTTTTTTATACCTTTAAGAAAAACTTTTGTACTTCGACAAGGGATTTGCATTGTATAATCAAATAGGTATAAAGATGATCGACATTTTTATGCGAACATGTTCCTATTAGGTAAATAACAATTACAGCTTCTAATAGAAAACGCAAAACGCAATGAACCGATTTTATCATCACATGCAAGTAATTATATATTTTCTCATATACAACTCAATGCTACTTGGCTGATAATATTTAATATGCTATTTTTTTTATCAATAATAGTTTGCGGTTTATAAGGATCGTAAAGTTATTGTAATGGTTATTTCTAACAAGAATTTTGTACCTAATAATATTTTATGACAATTTTAAAGCCACTGGTGACCTTGCACTGCACTGTGTTGTCACGTACAGCGTGACAGTACTACTTATGCTATAATTTTAAAAATATCTTATATATTAAGTTTATAAATCAGTAAAAAATAAACGTTAAAATTACAAGCAATATCAAAACGCACTCCAGTAAAAAAAAAACTAAAATCTTTAGGCCATCGCCCGCGCTCCCGCCGAAACCATGCGAATTAAAAAAAACAGAACTAAAGCTTCTCCCTATAGTGGGATATTATTACGATATTTTTAGTTGGATCTTAAATACATCAATGAATTATCTTTAAATTAATCTGTCATTTACTTTTTGTTAGTAAGCTTAACAATTATTTATGTATATTTTTCTTTTGAATTTGACTTTAAAATTATTATCATAATCTCAGGGTCTGATATCTATAGCCTTATCAAAGGTTTAGGTTATTATAAGACGATCCATGATAAATTCTGCCTTTATTAACAGCATGCAAATGTTAATATAACAGTAATATTTTAAAAATTACTTTAGATTAAATACGAAATAATAAGAAGTTAGCATTATATGAATTGTATATGTCAAAAATTACAATCTATTACAACAATCTGAGTTTAGCAATACCAAAAAATATAATTATAAATCAATCGAAATTATTAAATTACAATAATTAGTCAATACAATAATAAATTAATCTGAGTTTAGCAATGCCAAAATATAAGTATAAGTCAATCGAAATTATTTAATTGCAGTAATTAGTCGATACAATAATGCTTGAGCAATATAAAAACGTCCAAAATGCAATAAAACTATAGAAATAATCATATTGACCGGACATTATTAATAATGCTCATCATATATCGGGCAGAACAATTGAAATGAGGTTTTATTATGGCACTATTTTTATTTCAATACTCGTATAATGAGCTCAGCTTTAGAATAAGAATTCCTGCGTCTTTTTACAGATAAAGATATGAAGGAGGTTTAATTCATATCATATTTAATTGTAAAGTAAAAATTGCCTTATCCTTGTAGTTATTTTTCAAACCACGGAATGACTGTGTTTTAAAATCCTTTGTTTCCTAATAACGAATCGTTTCCGTATGATGTTTTTCCCTATTTGCTCTTTCCACGCCCCGTGCAATACCTTTGTATTATGCGTAATGCCCTAATTAATTATTTGCCCATCTATACTCTAAAGATTGCACTTACCCATAAGTGCCATAAAGAACTGGTTGGCGATCCCGCCATCGTTGAAGGACGCGAGCCATCGCACTGCAGATGACGGCAAGAGCATGCTGCGGCCTCAGGAGTTACACTATCATGTCTACTCCTCCCTTCCTCCTGCAAATAGAATAACCAGGTCAATGAAAGAGATAAGATTCTGTTGGTAATTATACTTTGAATCATCAAGAAAGTTGCCTATTGCATTCCTTATAAAACCAAAAACGCCATTGGAAGAAAATGGGATGGATACGGGCAAAAAATGGCGAATTGGGCGCCAAAATTGTTTTTAATTAATTAATCGCAAGTTTTTAAGTTTATTTGAAAGTGCTGCATAATGCCAACGAATTTAAAATGACGCATATAAATATATATTTTTATGGCTACGTTATATTGTAAAATAATATAATTACGAGAAAAAAATAATCAAATAATGAACTTTGTATGTTTTTTTCTATCAATACAATTTCGTAACGCTTTTAATGACCCGCGTCCTCACCTGCATTAATTATAGCATATAAATATTATAGAAAATATAAGAAACGATTTTCAAAAATATGACAATCAGCTTTTTACTTAATATCGGCACTTAAAAGCTGTTAGTGCGTCATTATCGTTATCAAACGAATATAAAGAACGTCATATCATTAATATAATGTGATGAGGAGTAGTTGAAAATTCTGATTTCATCCGGTACGATGCGGTTTCACACGGAATCGATTGCTCAGTTTTAAATTGATATGAAATATTGCTTTATCTTTCGCTGCTTTTAAGAATGTTGCAATTGAGAGTCGAATTATAATAAGAATTAATTGTAATGTAAAGTAGTCGCATGTTGTTTTCAAGGTATCATCATGTGGTTCGGTAGAAAATGTTTAATGGGAGAGCTGAGGGGGAATTATAAAAAGGCGAGCATCACAAAAATGTGTTTTGAAATTTATTCACATCAAAAGCTATGATGGGACGGACTATCAATGTCTCTAAATGAAATAAAATTGGTCTCACGGAGAGGGGTTGGGTTGGAAGGGCGCAATATCAAATTACAGAATAGCACTCCAGATAAAAAAAAATGTGTAAGATTCTACCACTCGTTAGAACTAACCTAGAACAAGGCTTACCTTAACTAGGAAACGCCTATTGTTAGAAATTGTCTAAGTAGATAAGTTTAATTTTATTACCCTTTTTTATTTGTGATCTGCCATATTACGTAAATGCTTAGCGCAAGGCACTGCATAACATATGACATAAATATATTTTAAAGTCGTTAGGTGATTCTTAGTCATTGGTGAAATGCATTTTCACTTTAGATAATTCCTAATTATTTAGGTGACAGATTTAGGTGACTCCTGTGTTTGGTGAAAACGTATATAAGTAGTGTAATTAGGATATAGTACATTCGAATGACAACACTAGTTGCCTTATCAGTTATCACAAACGCCAAAGAATGCGCTTTGACGCTGGAAAATAATCATAATAGCACACGTAGAATTTAAAAATTACTCATAAACCACTATGGTTTTATATAAAATCCCCTGTGTTAACACTTGGGTACAAATTACTCACATATTTGTCTATAGTCAATACAACAAAAGAATATTATCGCCAGAAGAATTAACTTAGTAGAAAGACATTTAATAATGTGTTTTATAAGGTATCCATAATTTTATATAAAACTAAATGAGTCATGTTAAATCGTGAAAATTATTATTTGCAAAATGATTAAATTATTCCAAAACATTATTACCAGTTGGTCAATATTTATCAATTAAATTTCGCTTAAATCTTACTGAACTAGAAAATTATTTAGATACCAATGATTGTAACACAAAAGCAGGTTAAAAGGCCCACTTTGTAGTAATGAAAAGGAAATATCGCATAGTTTCGAAACGGTGTTACTACTGCATGAAAGCATATTTTTTTACCTAACGCAGATAATGCTTGACACATTACTTGACGCACAGATAATCTGCACAAAAATATATCTGGGTGTATCAGCAGGTATCGTCTCGTTATTTCTAGCCATTGCACTTATACTGTGAAGTGCGTAGTTATCTTAGTTCCGGTTGTACCAACTTACTTTAACAAAGTCAAAGTCAATATAATCTTTATTCAAATAGACTTCTTAAAAGTACTTTTGGATCGTCCAACATTTTTTTCCCTTCCACTCGCCAAGGCCGTCTTTTGGCTAATAAGAAGAACGAGCAAGAAACACCAGCTCTAATAGGAGTGATTCTTATCTGTTATTTAATCGGATATCTTATAATAAGTATTTTTTTAATAGTATATCTAATTGTTGTATTTTGCTTGGGACCTTATTGTAGAAGTGCACACAAAGACCCCTGATGATCAATGATAAACATGTTAAAGTACCGATTAAACAAATAATCAGTAGCACTATTTGTAATGGTTAGATGGCGTCATGACTTTAACTATTAATGAAACCGCCCAAATTTCGTTGGTCAAAGTTATTATTTTACTATGCCAAGAAAATGGATGGTGCAACCGGTGCAACGCATGCCGCTGTCAAATTATTGTCAAATTTGATATAATGTTATGATGCAATCCAGTTTTAATATTATAAAGAGGAGTAATGGCGGGATTTTGATAACGCAGCTTTGTGGTTCGGGTTCAATGTTCTGAAAAATAGTGTTAAATTCGACTTAAATTACATAATTTTAGTGGAGTTTTATTCAATTTAGTGTTGTGAAAGTGCACTATTGTAGGGAAGGTGAAACTCGATTCCGTTGTTGTGATATCTTATGTTATCCGTTACTCCGCTTGACATGATTTTTGTATTGTTCCACCACTATACCTGAGCTCTTGACATGACTGACGGACGGACTATGACTTACTTGAAACATTTTGAACTCGATGTGGGCAAAACTTGATAGAAATCATTTACTTGATACTGGCTATATGTACTTGTACAAACCGTGCGAAGCCATAGAGAATAAAAAAAAAATATAATGGCGAAACTTTGTAAATTTGGATGCTTGATTATGAGGAAATTTGGTTTATGGATAATTCTAGGCCTGGGTTAATTTAAAAGCTACTTCTATCTAATTAAACAGTTTTCTAGGCACCACGCGGGAGAAACCGCTGGCGGAAAGCTAGTTTAAAATATATACTGTTGTTTGTACGTTGAGTTCTTTAAAATTACACAACGAATTTGAATGCGGTTGTTTTCAATATATAGTGTTGCAAGAGGAAGGTTTGTATTTATAACACAGAAAACTACTATGTTATTTGTTATAAATTATTTTTCAATTTTTAAGTCAGTTTTTCAGCCAGTTGCAGAAACGTCCATTAAAATTTCCATTAGTTTAAAGTGACATTACCCATACAAATTTGACATTCATTAGAGCTTAAAGGCGTCAATAAATCTTAATGGACGTTTGTGCAACAGACCGTTTATTTCTATTCATAATGAGCCACTCTTCACCAAAGATCCTTACAGAAGTGTGTCATCATAGAATTTACTATAAACTTGTCGTAACAATCTGACTAGGTACAATATGTATTCTTCTGAATGTCTCTGGAGAAATGTAACATTTAGATTAAATACAAGATTTTCTTGTCGATTAATAATATACAATGAAAAGTTTTTGTAAACTCAATTGTTTTTTTATCTTATACAATAGTTTTATTTAAACCGTTTTATCATATACATAGGTTTATGACGTATAATTTCCTAATCAGAACAATATTGAGTCAGATTTATATTTTAAAACATGTTATGAAAGCAATTGGAAATGTCAATTTATAGATAATAATATTTGATAATATTATAAAATCAAAGTGTTTGATATATTTTTTGAAACGGAAGCGGCACGTAGATTAAAATATCGGACAAGATGACCGGGATATGATACAATTTATAGGAAAATGAAATCAACAATTAATGATCTGGTTAAAAAAATTGTGTAGATTGAAACAGATAAGGTGTACTCTGATCTGATTTTGACGGGATAGTCACTAGCAGATAGCCTATGTAATAAAGAGTAACTTAGGCTACTTATACGCGGACGAAGTGGCGGGCACAGCTAGTCTATATTAAAACTAGCTTTGCCCGCGACTTCGTCCGCGTGGTAAAGTTACTATTATATCGTGTAAAATACCCTAAATCAAAATTCTTTCTTAGGGGATGCCAATGTCATAGTAGCTTTAATCATGCAAAGTTTCAGCCCGATCGGTTTTAAATTGACAAAGTTTCATACAAACTTTCATCCCCTATTTTATCCCCTTAGAATTGATCGAAATCCTTTCTTAACGGATTCCTACGTCATAACATCTACCTGCATGCCAAATATCAGCCCGATACGTTCAGTGGTTTGGGCTGTGCGTTGATAGATCACTATGTCAGTCAGCCATTTACCTTTGAGTTACATACTCGTATATTTAGATATATATACTCGTCAATCGATTCACATGCCAATTCAAACAAGCTCACTGATATATAGTTAATTTTATACATATACATTTGAACGATTTTCGAAACAGTAGCAGCTGCCGCTATACGTTTATTTACTGTTTATGGATTTTTTGGAATGCTAATGTCATCATGACACTGTCTGCCTTCTTCTCCTTCTTCTTTACTTTAACTGTCTGCGTTTTTACAAACCTTGTTATTTATTCTTTATTTTATAACAAAGAGACGTAGTTTCGGGCACTTACTATTGTTGTTAAGAACATTATAAGTTCCACATATGATGATTCATTGTATAGATGGCATAATAAAGATAGAACACCAAACAAATTGTCGAACAGAAAGCTGCCAGAGCATTAGAGGGTCAACCAAATGAAACCTATTTCAAATGATGATAAAAAATTTATGTGCTGTGTGTGTTATATAATGGTAAAGTTGAAATTGGTACGTCCTTTTAACTTCACCGAGTAATTTTATAATTTGTTCGTCTATTACTACATTACCTAGTTAACTTATAAATTTTCCTGTGCTACTTTTACTTTTCAATAATTGCCATGCGTAATAATTGATGATTGTTAAAGAGCTATTAGTGTTTATTAAGTAAAAAGTGGTTCCTAAATGATTTCTTATTTAAATCGATCGCTACCACTTTTTAGACTCAAAGAAAAATTTTCCGCCTTCGATAGCATTTTCT